GTTTAAGACTGCCTTTCCGGTACAATTGTACAAATAGTATAAAAATGTAATTTTCACAATAAAAGGTAAAATCTTTGTCCGATGAATTTTCATACAGGATCCCTGTTGTGCGCCTTATTCTCTCCCTCGTGTTTGGAATTCTTGGAAAAGATAGTAAACATAACACACTTTTTGTTTAAAAAGTCGTCGCAAACGAACAACAACGGTGGTTATGAAATAAATAATAAAAATTTATTATATATGATTCCGTTGTTGTGGTAAAATTAAATATAAAAATAATAAGAAACAAACTACACGTAACAAAAAATTATATAAGCAGACCTTCACTCAAGAAACAATTTTTTTATTCATCATGTATATATATATATTTTTTTTGACCTACACAATCTTGAGTTTTATTTTGAGACGTTGCTTAACCCATAAGCAGTCGCGCGGGGGTAAAAATGACCCAAGCCCTACATTTTGTCAAATATCTTTTTTCGTTTAATCCCTATGGACTTCCGGTTTCATGAATTCCTTAATTATTCTTACCTGCATCGACCCATACCAATTACCTGCACTTTATGCGAGTCGACAAATATGTATTTTTTTTGTAATAATTTTTTTTAAATAAAAATTTTACTTTATATGATATTACGCTTACGGGTTAAGTTGTTAGGTAAAATGCGTTTTTTTCGTAAAATTTTTGAAATTATTAAACAATTTAACAGGTGCTGTTCTTATTTTTATATTTATTCTTGTATAAAGTAATTACCATAATTACATTATCATGCCTGTCTATTTATTTCTCTACTTTTTTTTAGTTTTCTATATATATAAATAAGATGGATACTTTCTTTAATAACTAAAAGAGTCTATTCTCGAAAAATATTTAGTCCTCATAAAATACTCCTTTACCTACGGTCCATTACAAAGTGTACCATTTCCGGATTAACATTCATGACTTCCGGGTGTGGTCCAGGTTGGACTGGAGACCGATTGTCAATTTCGGTATAAAATAAATGTTTTCCTGCTGTTCATAACGTATTTACGTGTGTTACAGAGACACCTAATATTTTTAGTTAATTTAGTGCTTATTCCTATTTTGAATCGTTCACGTTTAAAATGGATGAATCAATTAAGAAAAAACCTAGAACTATTGTTAGTGCCATATGCAGTGTTAAATATTGCAAATCATCGTGTTTATAAATTAAATATCGACTTTTCTTTTTTCTTATTGCGATTCACGATTATACGATTTGAGCAAACTAGACAGTTTGCAATAAATTGCGTACACGAATCAATTTTTGAAATTGTAAATGAAGTGATACTTTTTAAATTGGGTGGCGACATCTAGGAATAGTTTAGGCAACGACCACCCATGACGGCTTAAAATTCGGGTCAGAAAGAACAAAGGCGCCGACACGAGCTGTCTCTACTGATTGATATCTATGCTGTGGTGTGGTAGATCCTTAAGTTGAAGAAAACATTTTCTCTAATCTGGAATTAAAACTTATGCAACTTTCTTGTTGTACGTAAAGCGTTCTCGTTGAAAGTAAAAAATAAGCAAAACATTTGCAATATCTAAAACTGCAAAGCTATAAAACCTAACCATATAAATGGGGCACAACTCAACTGAAAGCTAAATGTTTGCGAACTTAATGAGAATTATTACATATAACTTTTAGTACTCAAAAGAACAAATGGAAATCAAATAAAAATTACGTGAAACAAATTATACAGAGTTTCTATAAATGATTCCTCGCAGTAGGTCATGCCACCCCTCAGATTTGTAACTGTACTAAATGCCCAAGGACGCATGACAAAGACCACACGCATCTGTATAACTGGTTGTGTAAATGCTTCATACCTTTTTAAAAACACAACTAATTCATTAGAATAAAAAAAAAAAAGACAAATTTATTGCGGTTAAACATCACAGTAAGTGTTGCAAATGTTCACCGTTTTGTTCAAGGCACATGTTCACTCTCTTTTTAATTTAAAAAATGTGCTGTAATCTTTTCGTCAATGCCCATTGTTCAATTTCATCTTGCAACCGGAACTCCTGATTGGAGAGGAAATTTTGTCAAAGATGTTTGCGGATTCTGCTCAAGTCTTAAATCTTTAACAAGAGTTTTGAAAACGACTTTTTCGTTGGTTTGAGCTTGGATAAACGAGAATTCCTGTAATTCACACTTGAAAAACGTTAAAACAATAAAAGCGACGACAGGTGACAAATGACATTAATGACAAGTGAGAACTTGTCATAATGAGGCATAATTTCAGTTAAGCGGGATTTTTGAAATTCATGGCCAACAATGCCCTTAGAATCATTTATAAAAGCCCTGCATAAAAATACTACTGAAACCAACAGTAAAAATTGCGAATAACATTTTATTGGGCTAATTTTGAAAATATTTCCCGTTCATATTAATTATTTTATATTTTATCGTTCTTATTTGATTTGATAAATATTTCCTGCTATAGATAACTCATTCTACAAGTAAATATTGTAAGAAGACTCGATGTACTTATCCCAGTGTAAATAAGTAGAAAATGTTAGAGTTCTGCATTAGTAATCATCTTAAGAACCATAAAATTTCTTTTACGTGAACTATGTGTGCACTTGGATTTTTTAAAGAAACACGATAAATTATGACTCTGAACTATTTACTTTGCAGTGTACATAAAGATAACATAAATAGTAATAATTATGCAAACAAATTATTGGTTGTTACCGATAACTCTAAAAATATGTCAAACACAATTTCGAAAAATCTAATACAATACGTTATCAGACTTTTGCTGGCTTTATGCCTGTTCTGTTCATTTGTCATGTATGTAATTGTGTAAACAAGAACAAATCACTGATTTAACTTTTCTTTTAAGATGACGTAACCACTTTCTGGAAGAACATTAAATCAATTTTAGTTAAACCCTAAATCAATATTGGTACCTTACCAAATTTTCCAAGAAATCTTTTACGTAATTTCTAAAGTAATGTGTAAAATTTATTTTGGATTTAGACGGAAAACATTTATTGAATTTTTAAATACTCTATTCTAATTTCGGAAATGCTTAAATTATGGTCTAAGATAATTTTGAAGTACCTAATTGCAACTGATTTTAATAAAGTTCTATGACCACACTAGAAAATTTAAGACTCTCATAGTCACGAAAAAACCACTTTTAAACTAGAAGAAGATGTCCTTATTATCTTCTTCAGGGCTATCTTTTTATAATAATTAATAAAATTAAACGTTCACACCAACATAAAATCGTCATTTGCAGAATCTACTTAGACCCGTATTCACCCATTTTTGTTTCTCCTTTCCTTCATACACTAGTCAGTTAGTCAGTCAACTATCTAGCTAGTTATAATCAAACAATCTAAAAATCTAAAAGCCAAAGTTTTACGTCCAAATTGAAAAATCGAACTACCACATCAATCTATTTACAAAAATTATTATTAATATTTTGGTTTGGTTTATAAATTGGTCCAAAATCCCGAAAATGAACTTAACTTAAATAGCATATCATTCATCACGGAAGAGAGTATTAACAGAAATATCTGAAGTGTTCATACTTGATAAAAAATTATAGCCACTTAAATACTCGTAATATGGAGTGGCTGATTTTAATGTTGGTATGTATTTTGAGATTATTTTGAAAATTCGTAAAAATTTTTCTATAATAATTTGTTTACACTTTAATTCTAAATCAAAAGTAAAAATAAGCTTTTGAAAGCCTTTGTTTTTAAGTTTTGATTTTTATGATATGTTTTAGATATCAGATATTTTCTGTGTTATAAAATAATATACGTCTATACTCCTTTTTATCATAATTACTTCGCAAACATTTTTTGTGCAATATTTTGTATGTGTTTCATGTAATCGATGTCTCTCTCATGCATCAAATACCTCGTAACGGAGTGGGTTAAGTGGTAGATTGTTGGACTTATGCTCTGCCCGTGTGGGTTAGAATCCATCCTTATTGTTTTTTTTTTCTATATTGTGAGTGGTATTATCTACATTTTTTTTACTTGTAGGGGTTATGATCAAATATATAAAATTTTGGAAAATTAAATTTTATAATTTATGAAAAAACTGAATTTAGAACCTTAGATACGAAAAAAATATTCTTTCAAAGATAAACGATAAACATTACATTTTTTTTTATTTGACACTTTGTTCCAGTACGAAGAACCTGACATACTCGATGGTCAAGACAACTTTAGTAAACGACATGTCTAATGATCAACGTTTGAAATCTTAAAAAAAAACTATGTAAAATGGTTATGTGAAAAAAAAATCTCGAGTTTTAACTGGCGAACAAGTCATGCAATTTCTAGAAGATGCTCCTAACGACAGATATTTACTTCATAATGTAAACTATGCTATTTTTAGACGATTATAAGTATTTAAATACGAATGATTTATACATTAAAGGTAGTTGTTGTTTTGGGTCTCTTTGGAGGATTCAGGAGAGTTGAGATGACGCTGTAGACGATCTTGAAGATAAAGGCTGTGATATTATTGTAACATTGAAGAAAATAGAAACTGGTGAATATAAAAGTTTTACTATTGTTAAAGAAAAAAAATTGGCGCATTAGAAATAGTTCGAAAATATGCTAATATCAAAGCGCTAGGTAACGTACCAATAACTATTGCAAAGTTTTTGAATTTAGAAAATGCCAAAGAATATACGGGTCATTGTTTGCGGCGCACCTCTGCAACATTCTTGGTGAAGGCAGGTGTTTCATTTGAAACTTTACAATTATACGGAAAATGACAAAGATTTGCATGTCTATCTTAATCTGTTAATTGAATTAAGTGTATCATTATTTTATGATTCGCCTATAAGTAGGTATTTACCAAAGCATTTTTACTTAAGTATGTTTGTATTTGTATAACATTAGATTTCTACAAATTTTATAATTTTTTTTTTAATTTATTGCCATTTTATCTTATCTCAGTTTAAATGTTGCACTACTTTCATTCATTATGGTGCTGCATTAACAGTGCAATGTTAAAAAATATACAAAATATGTTTAGAATTATTTTATTTGTTCTCATTTGTGCAGAGTGTCGTGTTTTGACTAATCGTGGTAACCCCACTGAAAATCTTCATAAAACATATGCGTATCCTGATCGCTCACTGAAAAGTAACAGACAATTATAAAGTTCTTTGTGTTACTTATATAGTTACATATTTTTTAGTATACAAACGTCAAATTTCTTGTCCAGTCGACTTTACTTGCAGTCAACCCCTGAATTACGAGGCAACTAAACAATTTATTTGTAATGATGATTGTCCTTCAGGTTACATGTGTTGTGAAGATTCTTGTTTCGTACATAAAATATGTAAAGAAGTTATAGGTAAGAGCTATTTTTTTAAATAAATTGAAATTTTATTAAAATGAAATTTATAGAGAGTTGTCCCGTTGAGAAATATCCTTGTCGCGAACCATTTTCCGAAACACAGTGGACCGAATTCGCTTGCCAAGTTGGAGATTGTCCTGCAGGCTATGCATGTTGTTCTGACAGCTGTTTTAAATTTAAAATATGCAAACAATCTAGAGAAGAGATTTATACTACTGATACTGCTGTAACACTAGAGCAAAAACCAAATCAGTCTGTTACTACTGCTAAACTATCGTATGATGAAACAAATGGGCCAGTTACTACAGAAACGCCTAAAATTACAAGCGTGTTAATCAGGACAGTTACTCCCGACAAAGATGACACTAAAACAACTACATCAAGTAGTAACATTTTTACCAGAACCCAATCATTATTTGTTTCTCAAGATTATGAAGATAGTGAAACTGATGATGAAACTGTATCTAATACTGATACATCAGATGTAATCACTAGCTATCATTTGTCAAGTACTACTCACAATAGTTATCAAGTATTTAAAGAGGAAACTAAAACAACTGATGTGAGTTTAGCAGATTCTTTAAATAATTATGATGGACGTGGAATTGATACTGAAGATGATGAAAAAGATTATGCTGAAGCAACCACATCAATCAAAAATAATTTTACTCAGACACCAGATTCTGTCAAAACAGAGGCTGAAACTGAAATATCTAATATGACCACCAGCTATCCAAGTAGCAGTGACACTAGTTATGACGTATTTAAAGAGAAAACAAAAGCAACAACTGTGAGTATAGTAGATTTTTCAAATAATTATGATAGTAGTGGAGTTGACACTGAAAACACTGACGACTATCATGGTGAAGCAATCATATCAAGTGGAAATAATTTTACTCGGACACCAAATTCAGACACAACAGACGATGGAAATAGTCCGGTTGATAATATGTCACTGGATCTTGCAATTGAAATATTTAATATAACCACTAGATATCCCTCATCAGGCAATAGTACGTATGCTATCAATGAAGTATCTAAAGGGGAAACTAAAACATCTGCTGCGAGTACAACATATTCTTCAAATAATTATAATGGTAATGGAAGCAATACTGAAGACGGTGACGAAGATTATATGGAAGGAACTACATCAAGCAGAAATAATTTGACTCAGACACCAAATTCTGATACACCAGAGAATGGAAATGGCACGGATGATGAGGACATCTCATTTGATCTTGAAACTAAAATATTTAATTTAACCACTATAGATCCTTCATTAGGTAATAGTACTTATGCTAGTAATGAAGTATCTGAAGGGGACTCTAAAACGGTTATTGTGAGTACAGTAGATTCTTCAAATAACTATGATGGCAGTGGAAATGATAATAAAGACGATGACGAAGATTATGGTGAAGTGACCGAAGATTATGGTGAAGTGACCACATCAAGCAGAAATAATTTGACTCAGCCAACAAATTCTAACACAACAGAGAATGTAACTAATCTGGTTGATAAAGATATCTCATTTGAGCTTGAAATTAAAATATTTAATATAACCACTGTATATCCTCCATCAGCTAATAGTACTTATGTTAGTAATGGTGTATCTGAAGGGGAACCTAAAACGGTTAGTCTGAGCACAGTAGATTCTTCAAATAATTATGATGGCAGTGGAAGCGACACTGAAGACAGTGACGAAGGTTATGTAGAAGCAACTACATCAAGCAGAAATAATTTGACACCAAATTCTGATACACCAGAGAATGGAAATGACACAGGTGATGAGGACATCTCATTTGATCTTGAAACTGAAATATTTAATTTAACCACTATAGATCCTTCATCAGGTAATAGTACTTATGCTAGTAATGAAGTATCTGAAGGGGACTCTAAAACGGTTATTGTGAGTACAGTAGATTCTTCAAATAATTATGATGGCAGTGGAAGTGATACTGAAGACGATGACGAAGATTATGGTGAAGTAACCACATCAAGCAGAAATAATTTGACTCAGACCCCAAATTCTAACACAACAGAGAATGTAACTAATCTGGTTGATAAAGATATCTCATTTGAGCTTGAAATTAAAATATTTAATATAACCACTATATATCCTCCATCAGCTAATAGTACTTATGTTAGTAATGGAGTATCTGAAGGGGAACCCAAAACCGTTATTGTGAGCACAGTAGATTCTTCAAATAATTATGATGGCAGTGGAAGCGACACTGAAGACAGTGACGAAGGTTATGCAGAAGCAACTACATCAAGCAGAAATAATTTGACACCAAATTCTGATACACCAGAGAATGGAAATGACACAGGTGATGAGGACATCTCATTTGATCTTGAAACTAAAATATTTAATTTAACCACTATAGATCCTTCATCAGGTAATAGTACTTACGCCAGTAATACAATATCTGAAGGGGAATCTAAAACGGTTATTGTGAGTACAGTAGATTCTTCAAATAATTATGATGGCAGTGGAAGTGATACAGAAGACGATGACGAAGATTATGGTGAAGTAACCACATCCAGCAGAACAAAAATTACTCAGTTACCAAATTCTAACACAACAGAGAATGTAACTAGTCTGGTTGATAGAGATACCTCATTTGAGCTTAAAACTGAAATATTTAATATAACTACTAAATATCCTTCGTTAGGTAATAATACTTATGTTAACAAAGAAGTATCTACAGGGGAAACTAAAACAACTGCTATCAGCACAGTAGGTTCTTCAGATATATATTATGATGCTAGTGGTGGTGATAGGGAAGAGGATGACGACAATCATACCAAAACTCCTTTTCTTCCACAGTACAATAAGGGCAGAGCAATTGATGATGACGACGTAACTAAATCTCGTAAAGAAGTATTAAATGTAACAACTATATATCCTTTATCAAGCATCGCTGTTTATACTAGTAATGAATCTGAAGGAAATACTAAAATGTCTGGCATGAGTAACGTAAGTGACACAAGCAAATCCATTAATAACAGTCCTGTTATCACTAACACAAATGTTGATGACGAGGACAACGATAATGATGATGACAGTGGATACACTGATCCCAGTGGTGATGAGGATACGATTGACATACAACAACTCAACAACATGTAGGGACTGAATATTCAATAGCTTTACACGATGTTTACAGAAGCAGTATAAAAAACTTTTTATAATGATTTCTTTGAATAGAATACATTTACTTAGAAACAGTGCCATATTTGTGTATCTTAGTGTGGAAATTTCTCAAAAGACAGGTTGTTTATTAGATACATATCATAATATGCATTTGTTTGAGATGTTTTGTAATATTTTAATTAAACCAATTTTTGTTTCATAATTCAAATATGTAACTACAAAGTATGTACTTTAATATGACTATGGGAATAAAAAAGTCGTAGCATTTTATGTAAAGTTTCTCATTTGTGGTCAAGAATATTGTATTTATATAATTAAATGTTTTATATAATATATATATGAAGTTTTTTATTAAAACAATAAGTTGGTCCAAAATTGTTGCGATAGAACTTTCCTCGCACCGAAAGTACGATGAAACATCCAGCATTTTCGAGTTGACTTTTTTTCACGATGCCGTGTGATGAGGTCATCAACATTTTTGTAAGGATATGTATATCAGCTTGGATCGGTGCTATGTGATATCAAAAATTGCAGTACTGTATTCTGAAAATTTTCTGGGAGAATGGAGTGAACCGTTCCTGATTTAATCAATAAAATAAATTGATTCATTCATTAATCTTTTTGAGCCACATGTTTAAGCAAATCTAAAAAATATGAATGCAGTGATAAATCATAAGTAAAAACTCATCATATTTTCCACATTTTGGGTAGAATTTATTGAACAAAATAAACAGATATATTTTGATTAACAATTTACCATGCTTACAATAACTTTAAAACGTCTGGGAGATTTGAAAGTTTTAATTTCACAATTTTTAATTTATTCAGTAAAATAAATTGACTGTTACATTAATTTTTTTGAGTCACTCTGTATAAGCAAATCTAAAAAAATATGAATGCAATGATAAATTACGAGTATAGACTCATCATATTTTGTACATTTTAGATAGTGAGAAAATAGGTGTGGCGCCACATTCCTAAAGAAGCTGTCAAATAGTTTTATAGAGAATTTACATTTTTACAATTATTATAAATTGAAAAAAAATGGTAGTCAAAGCATACATAAGTGGCATTTCCGGCAATAAAGAGGTGAAGAAACGACAGCAAAGGGTCCTTCTGATTTTAGATTCAAAAAATGTTCAGTATGAAGTACTTGTTATAGGGGAACCGGAAAATTGAAACAAAAAGGTCTTTATACAAAACTATTCCATTTCTTCGGGCGGGACAATTAGTGATCCCAGCCCCAGGCATTCCTTTACTCCACAAATATTCAGTGATGATTATTGTGGGAATTATGACCAATTTGGTATGGCAAACAAAATTGATGAAATGGAAAAATTTCTGAAATTAGAACCCAGCGATTCTGCGCCAACTGTAACCTCAAATGCTGAAATTAAATTGGGAAATGGACAGATCCAGTCTGAAGAAACACCACAAATCTTTAACTAAACCAAAGATGACAAAGAAGAAGAATCAAAAAACGACTATATGCCTGATAATAACGAAAATACGAACGAAATTGTAGAATCCAAAGTCGAAGATGGTGATGAAGTGGAAGCTAAAAATGAGGAAGAAGACGAACAAGAAGAGGATGAAGACGCAATTTTTGAGTTTCATTAACACATTAGACATTACATTTTGATTAAAAAGCTACTATGCTTACAGTAACTTCAAAACGTCTGCAAGATTTCAATGTATTCAGTGTTGCAATTCTTGATTTAATCAATAAAATAAATTGATTCAGTCATTAATTTTTTTGAGATACCCTGTATAAGCAAGTCCAAAAAATATTAGTGCAGTGATAAATCACTCATTTAGAGAGCGGATTTTATGAAATTTGCATATCCTTTATTTTTTGCATAAAGTCTTGATATTTAGTATGTGAACGAATCATGCTAATTAAAAACGAATACAGCTATAAAAAAATTGCATATTTGCATATATTTGCCTTCTGCTGCATATTTCACGTAACGGGTGCATATTTTGCATATTTATCAATTTTTGTGCTAATTTAAAAAAAAAGTCATTCTTTTGGCATTTAACTAGAAAGACGAAATTTCATGAATCATTGCAAATATTCTCCTGAGCTTCAAATAACTAGGAAATGTTTGGGTTATATGGTAGTTTGGAGAAATCACTGGGTGTTAAGCCATCCTTCCAGGTAAATTCAGGCCCTAATTACTTTTGGAAACACGGTTCATTCCCAATATTTTTGTTCGTTACTTAAGTGTATTAATGGTGTGTTTTATGGTGGTCGAAGGCACGTTATCCTATTATTTTTCATTGTGAGTTTGCATTGAAAGCATCTAAGGTAATACAGGTGTATCAATATGTCAAAGATAACTTAAATTAATTTATGTATTAAACCTTTTCCTGAACTTATTCTTCAAGAAGGAGCTGTGTTTTGTCGTGCCTGCTCTATTTTTTACATCTGTGGACGTAGTATGGAGTTTTTCTATTTACAAATACATACTTTAAAATCACGGGAAAACTTTTTGTTAGAATATTCGAAAAATATGTAAAAATAAATTGTTACCAAAATAGTAATTAAATAGTCGATTTTTTAATTTGTTCTGTTTATATTTATTCTGAGTATAAGAATATTACCTTTAAAAATGTGATTTATGTGTTTGTGAGATGTAATCAAACACCTGGCAATGTGATTTATGTATTTTTTGTAATAAAACGTAAGCTCGGGAAACATATTTTTGTAATTTGTAAATAAATTTAGTTTGGTTATTACGCTCTTTTTTAATTTTTGGAGCATATGCAACTGCATATCTCTGCATATATTAAGAAAGTTACTGCATATTTGCATAAATTTAGTGCATATCATATGATCATATTTGCCAAAATTTTGCTGCATATTTTCCGCTCTTTACGTCATTATATTCTGCATATTTAAAATAGGATTTATTCAGCAATATTTTGAGGTGACGTCATCAATTTTTTAGGGGGGATGAGCAAATACATTTTGATCTAAAATTTACCGTGCTTGTAATAACTTTAAAACATTTCCAAGATTTCAAAGCATTCGGTATTGCAGATTCAAAATTAAATTGCAAAATATTGTTAAAAATCTGGAGGTTTCAGGTCAACACTCAACACTGAGTCATAAACTACATGTGCTATGTTATTTTATACAATTTATAACCCATTTACTATGTACAATTTTGTAGTGACGTTATCACATTATTGGTGGGGATGATTAGACAAATTTTGGTTAGCGTTTTACCATCTTCTCTACACGATCTTCCTAATAAATACAAAATTTAAAACTATCGGTCCAGCACTTTCGGTGATTATATTATTTGTCTAATAAAAATCCGGTACGACAGACAGATGGACAGACAGACAGAATAGATAGACAGACAGGCAGACGGAAACAGAAGACCTATTACTTCGTACTCCATGGTTCATGAAAGGGCGTAAAATACGTAAAAGTAGAGAGTCGGCCGACTGACTCGATTACAATACTTCTTTGGCTTTCGCTCGGGAAGTAAAAATCTAAAAATTGCGGTTTATCATATTCTCTTTTATATTTTTAAAAATATAATGCTAGGATAGCCGAACAGATGAACTAATTAATAAAAGCGACGTTATTACAAAATTTTAGTAAATTTTAGTAAGTAAATCCTGTTTAAAATTTGTGAAATAATGTGCCTATATTCTGACGTTTATTACTTAGTTTTTATTTTTAACGTTAAATGTATGGTTCAGAAAAAATCAAAATTTTACAAAAGTATTTCACACAGTAACATAGAAATTGCAAAATCGATTGTTATAATTTTTTACACACGCTTTATTAAAGTTATAGGCATTCATCTGTTCGTCCTTTTCAAAAACTTTATGATATCATCTCAAATACTAACAAATAAATCTTGTTTGAAATTTATATAACATGCTTCTTTCCTTATTATTATTATTAAGACCCACCACTGACCCGGAAATGACCGGCATTCAGGCAAGACTTCTATCATTACGGGTATTAAGCCCAAGTAATGATATGCATTGATTAGATTAACAAAACAACTTTCGAGATTCTAGAATTACAGCATACAAATTAGTCTGCTATTATTCTCTAATGTTCTCTAATGTTCCTAACAAAACAGCTTTTTGAATTTTGACAATTATTGAATCATTTAAATGCAAAGATTTTAAATTCTCAACGAAGCTATTTGGGACTACACCTACATTAGAGATAACTAAGGGTAGAATTGAAATTTTTTATTATTATTAAGACCCACCACTAACCCGGAAATGACCGGCATTCAGGCAAGACTTCTATCATTACGGGTATTAAGACCAAGTAATGATATGCATTAATTATTATTATTATTATTATTAAGACCCACCACTGACCCGGAAATGACCGGTATTCAGGCAAGACTTCTATCATTACGGGTACTAAGACCAAGTAATGATATGATATTATTAAGGTTATTAATGTTATTATTATTGGTTTTTAGAGCAGATATATATATATATCTATTATGCTCCCATAATTTTAAATTTGACTATAGATTTGAGTCTTTCTTAAGATAGATTTTCCTCAATGAAGTTGTCCAACTTTGTTTTAAAGGCTTCAACTGTAGGTGCTGTTGGTATTTCCTCTGTTAGTCTGTTCCAGTCATTAAAAATTCTGTTTGAAAAAAAAATGCTTCCTGCAAGAAATTTTTAATTTGTTTTTAGTCAACTTTAGATTTTGTCCCCGTAATTGTGTATTTTTATTAAAATTAAGTATATACTTCTTTACTAATGTTTGTATATTTACTAATAAATTTGAATACCCATATTAAGTCACTACGTCTGCTGAGGGCAAGCGTTTTTAAATTTAGCCTGTTGATCCTGTGAATTTTTTAAAACCTACCACCCTTTTTGTCAGACGCCTCTGAACTTTCTCTATGTTGTCCTTATCACGAATAAGCCAAGGGGACCATATTACGTTTGCGTACTCCAGAACCGGAAGTATATAAATCTTATTGAGCATTAACAGTTATTTATTATACAAGCGGTTAAAGTGAATGTTTAATGAGCGGTCAGTTTAAGGCGAGAGCGGCGTATACCGCGAATGATAAATGATACTGAGACAAAATTGCGCAAAAAAAAATAATTCTGTTGCTTATTATTCTGTTTTAAGTAAAATACACTGGATGATTATTATTAAAGACGTACATGAAGTTGGTTTTTAAAAATGTGTCATTCCTTAAAGGTAATACGCATTTGTCGGTTCTTTATTTCACCAAACGATTTTTTAAAATCTAAAAAGAACATTAATACAAATATTGCATTATTAGTGTCGCACATGCTTTAATTGTATTCAGTCTCAGGAATTCCTTTAAAAAATGGCCAAAGTGGCTCCTATTTTACTTCGAGCACATTCTCACACCTAAGAAAGTTAGGTTACGTTTTGACATTTTGCAACATATGGGTAGTAGTCTTGACAAGGAGGCTGGTAAATCTATGAAATTTTAAAGCCATCTTGATAAATGAATTGTAATAGGCATTTTATACAAAATGTATCCGAAATTTATAATTAAAATATTAAAGAAAAACAAGAACATTATTTTACAGATGTTACTCTTTTAGTGTGTTATTTTTAGCAGTGTAAATAATGTCTACACGTTTCTGCTTATCTCATTCCCTAAAGTCATATGTACAAATATAGCAAGCGATGTCATTGTAGAAAAGGTGGGAAATACTTCTTATCTTACCGAGATTTTTGTTGCTTCTAAAATTTGGTTACAGAGCAATATTTTAATTACGTTAGTATGTTTCGAATACTTTTCATCCTTTTCATTGTGTTTTCGTCATGGGTTGATTCGTACCACATCTATGGATCCAGAAGACAAAACTTTTACCCCAACTATCACGGTATTCGTCATCGTCATTACATTATGTACAGACCGCCTCGAAACTTTAATCCTTTTCTGTACAATAATCCTTCAGGTAACAGTATATTTAAAATAAAATTTTGAAAAACATTTACTTTTAGGAAGTGCCACAATATATCGTTGTCAGTACGATATTCATTGTCCTCCTTGTCACACATGTTGTTATGACACATTTTACGGTTGCAAAGTTTGCAAAAAGTGCCCGCTATATTTCGATCCTCCAAGGTTTGGTACAACTGATGGAAATAAGGTTACCGATGTAGACCCGTTTACTGTAACTACAGAGGAGTTTTCAACAACTACTACTACTGAAAGTACCACGACCGAATCAACTACTCCTACTACGACGACCGAAACAACTACTCCTACTACAACAACCGAAACCACTACAATTTCACCTTCTACACCAGAATTCACGGACACGACAACTTTAAGTATCGATTCAGAAACCACTGAAACTTATAATGTTGATATTGTAACAGCAGTTGCTCAATTTACAACAAAAGTTACAGAAGACGATGATAAAGAAGATACCGACAGTGAAGGGGAAGTAGATTTCAATGAAAACGGACAGGATGGCGATAACAAAGAATATGATGAAAATGAAGGGGAGGAAGATTCTAATGAAGACGAAGACGGTGGCGATGACAATGAAGTTAATGACAATCAAGTGGAAGGAGATTCCAATGAAGACGGACACGATGGTGATGATAAAGAAGATTATGGAAATGAAGGGGAGGAGGATTCTAACGAAGACGGAGACGGTGGCGATGACAATGAAGATAATAGCAATCAAGTGGAAGGAGATTCCAATGAAGACGGACACGATGGTGATGATAAAGAAGATTATGGAAATGAAGGGGAGGAAGATTCTAACGAAGACGGAGACGGTGGCGATGACAATGAAGATAATGGCAATCAAGTGGAAGGAGATTCCAATGAAGACGGACACGATGGTGATGATAAAGAAGATTATGGAAATGAAGGGGAGGAAGATGCTAATGAAGACGAGGACGACGGCGATGATAACGAAGGCGATGACAAAGAAGTGGAAGGAGATTTCGATGAAGACGGACAGGATGGTGATGATAAAGAAAATGATGAAAATGAAGGGGAGGAAGATTCTAATGAAGAGGAGGACGACGGCGATGACAACGAAGGCGATGACAATGAAGTGCAAGCAGATTTCAATGAAGACGGACATGATGGCAATGATAAAGAAGACGGTGAAAATGAAGGGGAAGAAAATTTCAGTGACGACGACGACGATGATGGCGATGACAAAGAAGATGATGACGAAGACGAAGACGAAGACGAAAACGAAGGCGAAGACGAAGACGGAGACGAAGACGGAGACGAAGACGAAGGCGAAGACGAAGACGATGACGAGGGAAAAGACAACACAGAGGAAGAAAACAGCGACTACGAAGGTGACGCAGAAGATGGTAATGTTCCTCCCGAGTCTGAAATTCTCTCTACAGCAAGAAAAATAAACGTATTTAATTTAATATAATCAAAACTTACTTTTCATATTTTTTTTTGTAATAAATTTAAATTATTTACTTTCAGCTCTCGACAAACATCATTCCATAAGTACTATCGTATTTATTTAGATAAGATATTGATTTGTGTATAGTGGTGTGACGATTTATTCATATTTGGGTAACCTGAATAAATAATATAAATGTCTGGGTTATGTGTTTACTTATTCAACGTTTTTCCTTTACTGAGTGGAAACTAAGCAACAGTATCGTGCCAAGGTTATTTTGACGAATGTCTGATTTTATGTGTTTTCGAATTTCACAGCTTGTGGAATACGAAAATATCGATCTTCCATCCACGTCTCTGTCGTTTTCCTGTTTTCTGTGTGCTTCTATGACGACGTCTGTCTGTTGGCGATTTTACTTTGACCCTTGAGTTGTTACGATCGTGTAAACGACAGAATAGGAATGAACATTTGTCTGTTCATTTTCACAAAAATTTGTAAAATCAGATTTTTCAATTTGTCTTGGAACATTCATAACTGAACTTTGTGCGTATGTAGGAAGATACCAAGTTTGTTCTAGTTATTACAAAAACAAAACACCTAGGTACTAAAATATATCTAATTATCGGCTCCAGAAAATTGGTGATGCTGTCTTGAAAAATTATCAATTACATGTTTCTGTCGAATAATATATGTTTTGAGAACTAACGTTTGTTGTTATTTATCTCTCGTAAATTATTTACAAGTTTGTGTCTACAATTATGTGTAAACGCAATTATACAACGCTGCAGTTGAAAAAATATCGGGTGAGTTTTTAAATTTCTGTCTCAGTTGGCCATGACTCATGACGCTTACGGCAGCCGTTTCAGTTACACTGATGACGTACACGTCATAGCAAACTATAGCAGAAATTTAAAACATCACACGATATTTTACTATTCAATAAAAACTCAAAAAAACATCACACCTTCCTTTGTTTTTGAAAATGCTCATGTTTAAATTGAAGTTAAGACAAAAAAATGGGGATAAATCTAGTATTTTTTAATCAAAACACTTCACATAACTTTAATAGTTTAATCGGCAGTCATCAACACTGACGTTATACAGATTGGTCAGTAAGCACGCGCTAATCGATATTTCATTAATTATTATTATTAAAAATACAATAACGTCTAGACTAAAGTTGTTTGAGTAGCCCACGCTACGTACAATAATTTTAAATTTTATATAGTATTCTGTCTTTGAAGTATAAGTAACACACACCTATTTTTTTTAACAAAGTGTCCTATATTGGTATTTTTACCATTCTGATTGGCTTTTTCTTGGGCTTTACTACTATAGTTTACCTTTACATGTTTGACATGTTCTTACAATTTTTTAGCAACGCAAGGGTTCATAAAAATCGTAATATGGCGACTTTTATTTTAATATCCGTGTTGTAATATTTTAACGAGAAATTGAGTCTTAATATACAGAATGTTAAAAAAATCTAGAATATAATTTCACGTTCGATATTTTAGTTTTTCAAATAGAATATCTTGAATTTTACTAGTGTATATTACCGTATTTTTATTGTTTCTTTTGTGTTGAATGAAATATTGACATTTGAGGATCCTAATCTTAGACCTTTTTTTTAACACCTCAACTAAGCATATATCTCTGTTTATCCTAGACCTGACCTTTTATTTTAATGGAAGGAAAATCGTGTATGAACACACATGGATCTTCCCCTATGGAAAAATGTGGGACTTCAGAGTTCTCTACACACTAAAATCCCTTCTTTTGATATTCCTCCAGGAACCAACCCCATTTGGCACATACTAGGAGGTAGGAGAAAACTTTCTGCATACTTATGAATTCATCTCTCGTTTTTTCTTCGTTTTTATTTTCAGTTTTCTTTATCATTACTTTATTCATTCACTGCACCCTATCACAGTGGCTGCTTCGGATTTCTTTCTTCTGTTAAATTTGTATTAATTTTTGTTTGGTGTAAATTGGTAGTAGCTTAGCGATAATTCGTCCTTTAAGATCGACCATTGAGGGCACTCAGTCGTCGTTTTGTCGCAAAGGAGATGTCAGATCGATGTATGATTATCTATGAGCTCTTTTCAAGGTCGGTGTTTTGCCATCGTTATTAGGTATTTTTACGTCCATTCTAATATTGCCGTTCTTGTTTTATCAATTTTATTCTCGCCCCAATACGACTGTTTTTTGCTTTAAAATCACCCGTGATGACGACTTTTTTCTTTTCCTTAATGTTCGCCTCCAGGGGGTCGATTCTTGAACTCGTTCGCAAAGACGCGAATACCAATAGGTGCGCATGCCAAGATGCTATTCGAAAGGAAAATGCGATCGCATGTAAAGTTTGTCTAGAATTATAAGAATTTTATGGAGTCCCAAAGTTAATTCGTTTTACAGCCCTGTTGTCAATTTTATTGTACAGCTGAAGAGCGGGGCGAACTCAGGTACAGAAAACATCGGCTTTCCCCTGACAAGCTCTTTACCTGTACAATAGAATTGACGCCTGGGCTGTAAAACGAATTAACGTTGGGAGTCCATAAAATTCTTATAATTCTGGACAAACTTTACCCACTCGTATACGTTCGAATATTTGCGTGTACCAACGTGTGCGAATGGTTCGAGAATACCGAAATCTACAAAACCGTTCGTAAGTTGGCAACTTGCGTATGCGGAACGTGAAATAAGTTGGATATTACCATATATGTATATATATACATTGTTAAACATAATTTTAGTGTATGCTACTGAAAGAACGTACATCTTTAGTTTTGATTTTTTTTTCTCTAATAACAATAATTAATGATATATTGAGGATCCCCTTGTTTATGTACTATCACCCAAATAAAGTTTCTGTTTGTTAAAGCAATATATTGTTAGATAATAATTTTATCTAAGGTAGTGATATCAGTTTTGCGAATCTCACTAATTTACGTTAGATAATGAATCACATCAGTGGTGTATACTGGTGGATTACTCATCTAAGTTATCCTACTTAAATCAGACGGTCGAGTTAAATACACTTATTTTTTAATATAAATAAACATGTGATTAATTCATTTAAATTAATTTTAAAGAAATCAAAATTTTGTATGGTCACGTGGTCTAACGCATTGTTATCATTCTCGTATAATTATACACCTCGGCTAATGCCTCATTATGAACTAGTTGTACACCCTTGTTGTACGTAAAGAATTATTATTTCTAAAAAATCGTTCAGGGAATAGTGGAACAGGTAATTACTTCTTTAATAGTTTTCCTTGTCAATTAATTTTTCTCATCAATTAAAAATTCTCTTTACCCAAAAACTACAAAAATATCATTGTTTACTAAGTTAGTTTATTTTTGGATATCTCAATATTGCATAACATGTTTATTTTTTATAAAAAGCGCCCTGCTTTCTTTGAGTGAGGAGCGTGTAGTTATTTTTCTTTGAAAAATGTTTTCTAGGTATATAAATATTTTCAGCATTTGAATTTTTTTACGGTAGGTGTACATAGTTAGATATTCGTTGATAAATTTCTATTTAATACCTCTCTAAGTCATTGTTAAATATTTGCACATGCAGGCAAACTGTTTCTCTAAGAATAAAAGTGAGTAATCGTCCCCTTATCATATAAAAATTGTAAGTGATATCTGATAACTCCATTTAGTGTGAGGGAATTTATTGACATGAAATTTTAATGTCAAGGCATCTGCTTCCTAATTTAATAAAAATGGCTTTATTTTGGTGTTATTTTGTCACAGCAGTAATTCTCATTGAATGCGGTCCAGTAAAAGAATACGTTAAGGAGAATGAAGTTTACTATGTAAGTAATCACGAGAGTGCGAGAGCATCACAAATTTAATCATAATGAATTAAAGGATGTCGGTGACACGGAATATGCACACGAATTGTTTCAAGCACTGAAAGAAGTAGAAGATATTAAAAATTTTGAACCTGACGAGAATTTTTCTAACGACAAAGAGAAGAACTACTTGGTCTCGCCCCATGTTGTCTCTAACGAAGTCGCTGTAGAAGAGCCTAATGTGAATTTTACTGGTGGAAAAAATGATGGTGTGGATCCGAAAATTTCACAAGAAGCTCAAGAACTTAATGAAGAGCATATAGATAAAAGTAAGGAAGGAAGTAAAGAACGAAGTGACAGTGACAGCAGCTACTCTGAAGAATATAAAAATAAAATAACAAGGATTACAATGAACACACCTTTTGTCAACCCTTCGACGTATGAGACGATTGATGAACAAAACAGTAGCGGTAGTGGAAGTGGAACCGATGAAAAAAATGAGGAAACTTCCATTGATGATACAGATTTATACCTAAAGGTAAACAAACACTCCACCACAACTGCAACATATGATACATCTGGAGACGATTTGAACAACAGAATAGCTGATAATATTGACGAAAATCATTTGAAAAATCACGAAGCGATAATCGATGGTACTAATTTATACACTACGGAACAAATACTTTTGACAACCATGGCAAAAGATGTTGGGCTTATAGATGAATCTATCTCTGGTGGTGTTAGTACCTCTGATCATGTTGATTTTCATTCCGATAAATTAAATAGCTATGATGAATATATTTTTTTCGACGATCTGTCCGATGCCATACTAACTCAAAATCAGGAGTCAGGTAGTGGCTCCGACAAATATGACCGTGTCGATAATAGTTTCGATGAAAAGAAGAAAAATTTTCCGTATACACCAGTCCCTGAAATGGACATAATCCATGAGGGTAGCGGGAGTGGTAGCGGTAGTGGCAGTGGAGACGGTTTCAGTGAAGAAAATGTGGATATATTCACGGATGACGAAGACTTCTATATCAAAATGACAAGAGGTTCATCCTCTGTAAATGATACTGATATTATTCAAAATGGTAGTGGCAGCGGTTCTCAGGAAATTGGTAGTGGTGACGATGATGGAAATGAAGAAGGAAAAAATTATTTTGATGCGATGGACTATGAACAAGGAGAAGAGGACTATGAAGAAGAAGAAGAAGAGGACTATGAACAAGGAGAAGAGGACTATGAAGAAGAAGAAGAAGAAGAGGACTATGAAGAAGAACAAGAAGAGGACTATGAACAAGGAGAAGGGGACTATGAACAAGGAGCAGAGGACTTTGAACAAGGAGAAGAGGACTATGAACAAGAAGAAGAGGACAATGAAGAAGGAGAAGAGGAGTTTGAGGAAGAGTACAACGACTATGTATATTATTAACATTATATGTAACCTTATCCCACTAATGCTTATATTGTGTATGAGACTGATTTGCATAAATGTATTAAAAATGACCGTAAATTCAGACAAGAGTGTAAGAATTTAGTTTTTATTTATTAAAGTGATAAAGTAGGAGTTTCCATTTTTACGCATACATCCGCTGTTTTCAACGTTATCTAATCTCTCCTTCGAATATTAAAAATTGGGTTAATAAAATAAAGTAAACAAAATTTGAGCTTTCGGTCACAATTTTTATCAATCTGCATATTATTCTGAAGAAGATTTGCACATATTTATAAGTGTTACATTAACAATAACTGTTCAGTCCGGTAAACAGCAAACTTATTGTGTGTATGAATTACAAAAGGAGTAATATTTTTCACAGTGATTAAAATGTTGAAGGTGTTAATACTTCTTTTATTTTTGTTCATTTGTAACGAAGGTCGAGTAGTTACCTTTCGGAAAATACCACTGCGTCCGTTTCGACATATTTACATTTTCCACCGCAATCCTAACAGAAGCTTTAATCCAATTCTGTCTAAAAATAATACATGTAAGTAACATAAATCTCAAATATTGTTTCAGTTAAAATATTTAAAACTTTTAACTTTAGCTACTACTCAAGCTATTCACACAACAACTGAAGAGACAACAAAAAATGTTAATGTGGATGAAAAATACACAACGCCTTTAAAACTGGCCACTTCAGATAGTAGACAAACAAGTGAACCATCCGGTGCGGTTTCTACGAGTATTATTTCTACAACACCAGAGTTGAGTACTTCTATACTGTATACTCATAGTGTTACTCCTACTAGTGAAAGTACACCCGCTAGTGTTTTAGATGAATTATCTAGTACATATTCTCAAAGTACTACTACTGTACCAACACAAACTGTCACCTCTGAACTATCTACCATTCATGAAACTACTCGGAGTAGTACTCAAAACACTATTACTGTACCAACACATACTGTCACCTCTGAACTATCTACCATTCATGAAACTACTCGTAGTAGTACTCAAAATACTATTACTGTACCAACACATACTGTCACGTCTGAACTATCTACCATTCATGAAACTACTCGTAGTAGTCCCGGAAAAACAACCAGAAGCATTTTAGCATCAACAACAAGTACAGCTAATTCAGATTCTTCTTGGTTTTCAACTACTACAATGATCACTACATCTAGTTCAGTAAAAACAACAAGTACTGAATTAATTATTGACAGCAATACAGACTCAACCTCTCCAAGTGAAAAAACTGTTCCTTCAAATGTACCACCAACATATACAATATCATCTAGTGAACCTACTTACGAAGAACAATCTGGTGATGGTAGTGGCGATGATGAAGATTATGATGAAAAATCAACAACTGTCACTGTTTTGCAAACCACTGTTGAGGAATATGGTAGTGCTAGTGGTGACGGCGAAGACATGGATACAACAACATCAAGTGAAAAATATAGGACCAGTACTGTAAAGAGAGATTCCATTACAACAACTGGAAAACATAGTAGTACCATTATTGTCGCTGGTACTACCCCTGCAACAAATGAAGAAAGCAGTAGCGGTGAAGGTAGCGGCGATGATAATTTCAGTGGAGATGGTATTGAAAACCCTGTTAACACAGAAGACCACTCTATACCTAAGAAAATTCCTACAGATATTGATATTACCGAGGACGACTTCACTTTTGAGGCAATGGAGGATTCGTTCGCTATTCAAGAACAAAAGGCCGCTAATCCAAAGTTTCTTGAAACGTTTTCCGCATCCTCTTCGCCTTCAGAAAAAGATAATGGAGTAGATTTTATTCCAGAAGTTATAAACCTTGACAACAAGAAACGGGTGGCGCATCCGATTATATTTATAAACAAATCTTGGACTCCAGCAACAAATTTGCCAACACAATTGAAAACCAATGACCATTTCTCTTCAGATCTTTTAAATTCTGATTCATGGAAAGAAATAGTCGCTGCTTCTGAAATAATAAGCAGAAATAGTAGTAGTGATAATGACAATGATATAACAACAAATTCAGTTGTAATAGAAGAAATTAGCACAGAAAATACTAATGAAGCAACGGACGTCTACATTACAGAATATATATTGACAAAACCAAACAGCACTAAAGAACATAGTTATGATATTGATAGCTACCTTGATAATGACATTGATAAGGACAATTCTGCTAATGAAGCAAGTTACGAACATTTTGTAACAGTAACGGATGTTGCACCTAATTTGGAAAATAAATCCGAGAACAAAATAAACCTGCTTATGGAAATGATCACCAAATACAGTTCAAAAATACCTACTGTTTTTGCCACGTCAACATCTTTTCCAGATACAAATACTACTAAATTGGCACAAGATTTGTACAACGAAAACAAGGTTACTGAAAAAACTTCGCTCTTTGACAAACATGATGATAAAAAACCTTACAGTGTTATTGCAGAACAGATTTTGAAACTTGAACATGGTAACCTTGATGAAGACTACTATATTATTGTTGATGGTTATGACTACGCCCCAGAATCATTAAACAAAAGTGAAGCCGGTCATGATAAAATTGAAAGAACTAAAAATCTTAATGACTCAACTGAATATGTAACTGGAAACGATTTCGAAAACAGAAAAAATAATACGATTCGCAAATGAAATAATAACTGGAAAAGAGATAAGTGTAAGATCTATTAGCAAAAATAAAATATATTTCAAAGCATCTAATAACTGTTATCATTTCGTGATTACAAAAGTGTCCAAAGAAGGCGTCACAATACCAAATTTCGTTCTTTCAGAGTTTATCTAATCTAATTTTACAAGAATTCGAAGTTTGATTAACACACCACACAAGCAAATACAATTTGTCCCTGTCGGTTTCTTATCTTATCCATTATTGTCCATGCTGCCAACTTTTAACAGATGAGTCAAATTTAATAGCGTTATCACAAAAAAATTTGAATGTTTCGTAAAATTACAACTCCAAGTTGAAAATAGTTATGTGATGGATAACTTCCATTTCCTTAAGAGTACGAAAATGTTAAAATTTATTCTCTGCTTACATTTCGTAATCTTTGTGACCGAGAGCCGTATGAGTTATTATTTTTATAATGGGAAACTGCATCCAGACAGTAAAGTTTATCTCGTTGTACGTGAACCTTCTGAAAATTTTAATCCAATATTTGGAGACTTTATAGCAGGTAACGGAAACTAAAATTGTGTAGAAAAATAATAATGTTAAACGTTTTAGTTACCACAAATAAACCAGACACCACTTCTACTACAATTAAAACAGAACAAATGACTGATACAACTTCAGATACATCAACAACTGAAAGTACAACAGTGTCGTCAACGACTTGGAATTTAAGCACATCTTCTCTTGGGACTACAGGGGAATGTTCCACTTGTGACGACAACTGTGTTTTATCGCAGTATAGATGTACTTCGGATGCCTATTGTCCACCTTGTTACGTGTGCAGTGATGATGAATACTACATTTATAAGATCTGCAAGCATGCCAGTTACGGAAACACAAGAAGTACTGTTTCGTCAAGAACTAGTACTGATGACGCCACTATTTCTGTTATTTCTGAATATCCTACTACTACTACAGGTATGTAATTAAAGTATACTATATGTTTACATGTTAAATTCGAGTATCAATACAAATAATCACAAGGGTAACTAAGAATATATTGAATATTTTTTAGACGACGTATTTGAACCACCACTACCGCCACCACCAGATGTTGAAATCTTTGATCCAACGGGAAAAGATGACAACGATAAACGAGACGATCAAGCGGTGCCAACAGTAACTGTGATTACAGAAAACGAGGTGACGATAACTGCACAAGATTTCAGTGGTACGTATTTTTTGAACCAAGAACAAAAATTGCCTAAAAACTCCTACCTAGTGGAGATTCTCAGAACACACATTTTATTTACTTATATAAAATAAAAAAAATTGTTTTTGTAATTATTGTGATAAAGAAGAATAAGCAGATCGCATTGTAGGTAGATTTTTCAGTTGTGGCGGGTCCCATAACAGTAGTATAAAAATATTTCAAATAATACGAATCAATATTTGAAAAGCTCGACCAACTCCTGTCCAAGGTCACATCACATGGAGTGCCCTAATCCCTCGTCTTCAATCCAGTTCAAAATGATAAGAGCAGCGATTAGAAAATTTACATAGGTTTTAGCGGTTCTTTTTAAGTTAGAAGTTTAAAATCCATGTAAATAGATACATACGAGAAAATAAATAGCACAGAAAGTAAACGTGCAGTAAATAGAGAAGTTAGACAACGGCGGAACTTCGTACCTATCACCTACATATTGATATATAAGTAGTTACTATTTTTTTCAATAAGGAATAAATTCGATTTTCACAGATTCACAGATCAGAACATTGAACAATAAATTTATAAATGTGTCACAGAGAATGATCTACAACCGTTTATATCAATATATGTAGAAACTTGGTCAATACCTAAAGTTAGTTTGTTTTTCTATTGTTTATATGATGCAGAAACTTCGGATGACTTCGTTGCTTACATTGTTGTTCAAGTCCATTTCAGATCCTTCATGTAGAATACCTTTATTAAAACATGAATATATTTTTTTCTGGAATTTACTCGCACATATGAAAATATCAAATACTCTTTTCGTACTTTTGCTTTGACATTTTGTAGATATTCTCACTTCTTTATACGAATCAATGGTTTTTATTTTTTTATTATAGGTTGTTAATGACTTATTTTATTAGTTTTTAGTTTTTAGTAAGTGGTACTGTTTTGGCCAAAACAGTTTTGATCAAATTGATTACATGCTAAATGAGCATCTATGACAAATGTTCGATATGACTGATCGATTTGTAGCAAGTAATTGTTTAAAAATAGATACTTGCTTTATTTTAATGAAAGAATTTATTGTTCGTACGGCTACTATTTTTAACGGTACTAAGTGGTAATTAAATTGATAAATATAGATAATCAGATCCTCATCGATAAGTGAATCTCTAATTTTACTATAATACAATCAATATTAGTAACCACTACGTCCAAAAGTCGATTATACTGGTTTACAACTTGATTATGTATACATATATTAAACAACTTTTGCTTTCCGAGCGTAAGCTAAGGAAGTATTGTACTGCGACGAGTGTTACACGTTTTCTCGACGTTTCATAATCCCTACAGTATGAAAATGTAGGTCTTCCGTTCCCATCTGTCTGTCTGTCTGACTGTTTGTCGACTGTGTCAAATTTTATTAGATAGATAATCTGCGAAACTACCAGATCAATTGTTGCCAAATTTTGTATGTATGTTACGAATATCAATCTAAATTGCCTAACAATGGTCTATTTTTACTTTTTGAGCGTAAGCTAAAGAATTATTATAATCGAGTCCATTGTGCGGCTGGCTGCTTTCATATTTTTTCGATGAGTCAGGACCGCTAGAGTATGAAAAAATGGGTCTCCGTTTCCGTCTGTCTGTCTTTCTTGACAACTATAATAGTAGTAACTTATAGCAAAAAAATTACTAAATTAGAAAAAAATTTAAAAACGAAAATTAGTGTGTCAACACAAAATAAAAAGGGACTGAAAAAACATTTGCACCTGTGGATTTATCTGAGTGAGCAACTTGGAACAACACAGTTAAGGCACTGTAATAAGCAGGAAACATAAATGAAATGAAGATGCAAATAGTTATCTTATCCTTATCAGTGTGGCACAAAAAACACCAGATACTAGCGATATCCAGTGCACAATTAGCAATTTTTGTCATTAATCGGCACACAAACGATGATTCTACACTATCAAATAAGTGGGTCTGTTTAAGGTTTCTCATTATTTTGATCGTGTTTAGTTTGTAGCTTGAATCATCAATTTTTTCGTTTTTAATGCAGATTACATTTTAATAACGGTTAGCAGGTAGGGGTTTACTATTATTATTTTAATTTTTACTGTTTTCCATTTGCACACTTTTGTTTAGAAACTTTTATGCAATAAAAATAAAAAAAAATCGATAAAGTTTTAACCTAATTATGCCCGTTTTCAAATAATGACAAGGCAGTGTCATTGAAGACTTCTTTTATTAACTTCGTGTTATGTGTTTAGGTATTGACTTTTCAAAATTACGAGTTTTAGTACTTAATCTAAGTTATCATCATAAAAATAGGTCTCCCTTTTCCATCTGTCTGTCTATCTGTCGTCTGTATCGATATTTATTAGAGAGATAATCTGTGAAACTGTTAGCAAATTTTATAGGTGTTTTAGGAATGTCGTGTAGTTGGACAAACTCTTTTTTTCACCAATAATTTGATTACGTCATTTTAAAATTGTGTTCCTGTCCTTGTGGTTTATATATTGCATAACAAGTATACTAACAAAAGAGGAATCCAAAAGCATTTACCCTAAAGCTCAGTTGGTGTGAGGGTTGTGCTAACACCGAGAAAGTGGCAAGTTCGATCCCTGATGGGCCATTTTTTTCTTATCGTGTAATTAGTATTACTTTTTTTAAAGAACTTATGGTTAACGGTTCTTCAAGAGCGAGGAAAATTCTGGATAATGACATAATACCAATTTTTTAAATTTTATAACAGAGTCTAAAAATGAAAAGTAGTCATAATGTTCCATTACTCAACTGTTTGTTATTTGTTTTAAAACAGTAGACAAATTAGATACAAATTTGATTTTACTACCTATTGTAGTATATCTTTGCTTGAATTTATTTAGAATGATTATTTTGTTGAACGATGATCATTCAACAAACAAACAAAACTGTAGTTAAATAATAGAATAAATTGTCAAACGAGACCTAAATTCCACATCCACCAACACTACAAATTCGGTGTTTAGTTGAAGTTGTTGAACACACTTGCCATTTTTAAACTGTAATTTCCGTTATGTTCTAATTTAGTATCAAAAAGGCAATTACATTCTTATATTCCTAATGTTTAAAAGCTTTTCCACACAATTTTTGGAACATATGGATTGAACCAACGAGATTTTTCAGATTTAACACCAGTAAACTTTTTGTGTTAGTAATTTCTGACAAATGTTATTGTGAAATTACTGTAATTTCATGAAATTATAAAATTATAAACAGTTACCTGAATTGCTATAAAAATTCATCTTCTGCGAAGATTTACCCCGTCTGACATAAAAGCTCCATAATTATGACACTGAATTAAAAAGTTACAAACTTGCAGTTTGAATATAGCTAGTGTAAATTTTTGTTATCCATTTTTATTATTACAGAAATTCCAAGTGATGGTTTAATAACAGAAAAAATTTCAACAACTACCAATAATGAACCCTCTGACTTGTACTCGTCTCCAATTTTAGAGACAGTATCCACGGATTTTTCAGTTACCATTGTTACTGATTCTGAAACTCCAAAACACAGTACTTTAGGTGAGTTAGCTAATAAAAGATTTCTACAATCAAAAATCTGGAAAAAAAGTATCTTAAAATAATTTGTGTTTGCAGTATCTGTCTCATCGGTCGCTAGCATCACCACAAGCGAAACGGAATTTTCACTAATTGATAACATCAGTGTTTCATCGATTGTTCCAGTTAGTTCAACTATAATTAGTATTCTACCCAGTACCGCACCTTCTACAACGATTGTACCAGTGGCAAATATTACTGATTACAAGTACACAACAAATACCGAAGACAACCTGAGTAGTTTTTCACTAGAAGAATCTTCGACTCCAGTAGTAACAGATTTAAAAGGAAATAATGTTAAAACACCGACCTCTAGTTCTCTTAATGTAACAGTCACACGTTCTTTGGAAGAAAATTCATCTGATTATACTTCAGAAATACCCAATTTTACTAATTTTGTTGCCACCACAAACAATAATAGAAGTACTACTAACTTTGTAAGTAATTTAACAGATTCAGAGTTTGTACTTATACCGAACACAACTGAGTTTTCTACTGAGTTAAACACAAATACAACTATAGCAGTTTCCTTTTTTAACACTACGTTAACTCCTACGACAACTCTTTTCATTCCACCCGGCAGAAATGTTGATGTCATTGCTGATGTTAGCAAAGTGTCCGAGACAATCGCAGGGCTAATACTTAACTTTATTAAAAATAGTACCACCGAAAACAGTAATTCATCAAGTGGTGGCTTAGATAATGCTGGTAATTCTGCAAATGATACTACACAAAAAGACGAAAGTACAACTAATAACGATCAGAATTCCACGAATCAGAGAAAATATACCACTCCTCCTGCTCCCATTAACGCAACAGAAGGACTAGTGACTGGCTCCTTCAGTACTAATTTAACTACTGCTTTGTTTTTGGGTACTATTACATCTAAACCACTTGAATCTGAAGAACAAGTACGAATGAAAACAGACTCAATTTTTTCTGCTACGAGTGAGACCACGACAGTCACAGTCCGTACTGAAGACAGTACTATTACTAGAGAACAAACTCAAATTACTAGAACTATGACAGATCTTAATATGGATTCTACTACTTTCGACTTAGAAGTTCAGTCCATTTCAGCGTCTACTAATGAAACTACAATTATCCCAGTTGAAACTACTGTTTCTAATAGATCTGATGAACTTTTAGTAACACCTAATAACTTGCAAACTACTGTCATAAATGTTACAGGCATGACACCAACAACTCACACAAATACGTTACCCAATATTTCTGAAGAAAAAATTTCTGAAATTGATAGTACAATGATTGCCATTACTACAGTAAATATTACTGATGAAACTCTTGTTACTACAACTGAAAAATCTAGTCCATTATATGAAGCCAAAACAACTGCACAAAACGCTACAGATAATGACAAGATCTCTGAATTATCAAATGTTACTTTAAGTGAGTCAGACACTTTTATAACTTATGTTCAATTTGACATATAAAGTTCTCTCCACAGCTGCTATGGGAGATATAACAACTACCAAAAATACCGTAGATGAAACTAATTCTTCTAGTCAGTCAAATACAACATCAACTAATGAAGTTCCTGCGACTCCCACAAGTGAACTTGGATTTAATATAACATCTTTAGTTCCATCTACAACCCCCGCTGACGCTAGTATAACTCAGTTAAATGAAAATTCGGTAAATGCTTCCCCGGTTGACCACGAATTTACATCAGATATAAGACGAAATGAAAGTACAAAGCCAAATCTTAACATGGAGACAGTTACAGGTAAGAAAGATTTATAATCATTAGAAAACTATCTTAACGCAATTTATGCTTTATTGTTTTGGTAGTTTTGTTTATCAGCTATGAATGCTTCAATTAATACACACAATTACAATTAATATTTCTACCACAGATCAAACTCAAAAATTAACTACCAACAAAGATGAGATTTTTGGAAGTGGTGACAATGAAGAAATGTACTCCGGCAGTGGTGATAGTGAGGTGTCCTCTGGTAGTGGTGATGATACGGAGGTGTATTCCGGTAGCGGTGATGGCAGCGAGATAGATTTTGGAAGCGGTGATGGGGGTGAAGTAGATTATGGAGGCGCTGATAACCATGAGGTATATTTTGCTGAAGATGATATAGGAACTGATGACTATAATCAGTCAAAAGAGGATAATCTCAGAAATAGGGTTCCCCGTTTTTTAGTGCAAGATGTATTTCAGGATGTATTTTTTTAATAAATGTTTTCGCAAAATAGTGCATTAAACAGTTTAGAAATACTTACTATTGACAGTGTATATATAGCTATAATTACCTATGAAGAAAATTGCGTTTTATACTTTTTATATTATTGTTTTATGTAATATTAATGTGTAATCCTGAAAGCAATACATATACATATTTAACTCTTTTGTTCAATTTTAGAATCATAATCTTGTTTACAAGTACCCAAATGCCGAAATAAATTGGCCTTTATGGCACAAATCAGTCAAAAATTGTTAAGCAACGATTGATTCATTTACAAAAATTAATTATTCAAACAAGCTTCGATATTCAACATTTTGCTTAAAGCTGGGAAAATAATATCTCATCAAATCATTGTCGATTTCAAATTCTTCTACAATTTCTTTTGAATAAACGTTTTTCGCTTCTTCAGTTTGCATTTTGAAAATCGAAATATTTGAAAAATACACAACGTGGTATCCATAACAATAACAAAATAATGTATTAAAGTTCGCAACGTCACAATTCACACAATTTTACGGGAAATACTCAATATTTCGTTAAAAATATTTTAGAAACTAAAATAAAATAAAACGTTGTATGTATAGTGCTCCAACTGCTGGTTCGTTTTTATGACTGTAACCTATTGTGAAGGAGTTAAGTGTTCCACAATAGGCCTCTGCCATAAGTAATCCAGCGGTCATAAACCGTCAAGGGACCAACTGTTTACACTACACAGGGCCGTATGCGCCCGTAAACCTTTAAGATGATTTATGGCACGGCTATTTACATTTTCAATAGAGTTCCTAATACTTGCGGTAATTGAGATTGCAGTGCCATAAAAACGAACTCAGAGTTGGACCACTATACCACGGGCATAATTGTCGATTGTTTGCCCTCGGGAAATTAAAAGGCCTCCTTCGTCGGGCTTTAAACATTCCCTCGTGCCATAATCTCCCTAATTATGCCCTTAATAACTGCTGTAAAGGGTCATTTTAACGAATGTTTAATTTCTTGTTTTTTCGACGTTTCACAGTTAGTCCAAATTAAAAATTTGTATCTTTAGTTACCACCTCTGTAATCTGTCGGTTGTCGTTCAAAAATTACTAAAATCTAAGTAAACTAACATTTAGTCAAACAGCCTAAACAATAATTCATGGGTTAAGTGAATACACAACTCAGGAGATGTTCTACAATAGCCTGTATTATTGTATTTATTATTGTTATTTTAAATTTGTGACTAATACTAATTAAAATCTGATGATCTACTGAATAAATGAAACAACTGATGAAAAAATTTATAGTCTGAATTTTAATTTTTTAAGATATACTACATATGTAAAATTAAAAAAAAGACGATCTCTTGAACTACAGGTAAGGAAGTTGAGTTGCACATTTCAAGACGATTTACTAATCATAATGACTTGAGAGAACTTTACAGTTTTTTTTATGATGAGTGGCGAGTTAACAAAATGTGATGAACATTTTGCCATTTACGTAATAAATTACTAAAGTAATTGAATTGGTAATTTGGGAGGTAGTTGAAATCAGTAGAAGTTCTATATATTTTATAAATTTGAAATTTAAATATAATAATTTTAATTTAAATAGACTTATATATTGTTACGAAATAAACCCATACGCCGTTCCGTTTAGACGCCTATCGGTTCTAGTATATATACGGCGACGATGACTCATTGTCCGTGACGGCGGCCGGAGAAGAGCGTCGAAACGGATGTCGCGACGGGTGTTCGAGAATAAGATTACAAGCGGTGACGGAGACCTTCGAGAAGAACCGTGCGGTTGTTTAAATGGGAACCACCGTCGGGAGCAGTTACTGTAGTCCAGACAACGAGAGCTAAATTCAGTTAACAAGTCGAGTCCAAGAGTGTTGAGAAAACCCAGTGAAGTTGTTCCGGAATTATTTTGTACATAGTCGCTGTGTGATTAGACGTGTAAATCCGAGCTAATAAGAAATAAATTGTTGAGTTTTACCCACGGTGATTTTATTCACTGATCAACGTAACAACATACATATTACCAATAAAATTGTTGTAATCCGTTCTTGCAGAAAAACATTTTTAAGTTCTTTGTTGTTATTTAAAACCATTTTACAACTTTTGTATATATTAATTATATTAAAATTGTTTGTCACATGACTCAAAAACAAAGTCCACACAGGAGAAAGAAACCATTTTCACATAACTTTTTACTTTATGAATATTTTGGGCGTTTTAACTTCAAAAATAAATGGAATGAAATATATCAAATTCAAATTGCATGCGAACAAAAACAAGTAATATAAAATTAAAATGTTTCCTTTTTTACGGCTATAACGTAAAATAATAGTTAATTAGGCTAAAAATTTGTCATATGAATAAAATAAAATGTACGGCGAAAAATGCAGTTATGATAAGATAAACGAAAGTGCTAAACGACCTCGTTACAATAACAGTAATTACTAATTATGTTGATGTTGTGTTTGTGCAAAACATTTTTTTGTTGCTTTTGTTATTTAAAAAATTGGTCTAAAGAGTTTAGACAGTACTTCCCTCGCTGTCGGAAACTTGACGACTGCATGCCTATTGTATTTTTTTTCTCATTACATTTTTGTAGTGGGAATTTAAAAAAAAATTGTGATGACGTCATCAACATTTTTGCAAGGACACGTATATCAGTTGGGATAGATGTAGTGTAATACTAAGAATAAAATTATTGTATTCCCAAATTTTCGGGAAAATGAATTGGGTCGTTTTGAATATTGATTTCTTATAATCAATAAAATAACGAAACAATTTACTCACGTATACGGCGCCGGTGTGTAATATCTAGAGAGCGGATTTCTGTCGGGTTAGGCAAGGCCAAACTCGGTACGGCTCGTACGGGATGCGAATTCATTGCGGTTGCGGACTGCACTTCGTTTATTTGAGATTAGAATAACGCTGTTTCGTTGCACTCTGCTGTTAATTCCCGTTCTCATTTACTTAGCCGTTTGATTAATAAATCGTTAATTATATTTATGGAATTAGTACTGATTAAATTCAGTGATTATCTATCACACGCTACTGAGTCCCGGCGATCCAGCGCGTCACCACCTATAATCGTGACGTAGCCCGACAAAAATCCGCTGTCTAGTAATATGAAAGGCAACTGAAAATCGTTTATGTATAAACATTCTTAATTTAAGATGACAAGCGTAACAGCATACGTGAGAGTCAAACAGAGAAACTGTAAACAAAACGACCATCGGTTTTATTGCTTCGACTTCCGCTTATTATATAAAACATTGGGTTTTATTTTAATTCTTGACGGTGAAATTCACAATTGGTTGATTATAAACATGTCTATTTCACATTCGCGGAACCAAGTGAGCGCATAAAACAAATGCAGGTCTGTAATGTTAAAGTCGATGTAAATAAGCGTGCTACCCTTATGTTTCAACCAAGTTTTTCCTTTAACAAATTTTGTGTCTACCAAATTGGGTTGGTTGGGGTGCAATACTAATAATAAGTGTTGCCTTTAATTTAATCAATAAAATAAATTGACTTCATTAATTTTTTTGAACCACCTCTTAAGAAAATCTAAAAAATATGAATGGAATGATAAATCACAAGTACAAACTCATCATATTTTTTGCATTTTAGATAGGATTTATTCAGCAAAATTTAAGGGTGACGTCATCAATTTTTTTAGGAGGGATGAACAAATACATTTTGAACAAAAGTTTACCATGCTTATAATAACTTTAAAATATTCCCAAGATTTCAAAGCATTCGGTTTTGTAATTCCTGATTAAATCGATAAAATAAATTCACGTCTTCATTAATTTTTTTGAGTCACCCTGCATATGCAAATCCAAAAATATGAATGGAATGATAAATCACAAGTACAGACTCATCATATTTTGTACATTTTAGATACGATTTATTCGGCAAACTTTTGAGCTGACGTCATCAGTTTTTTGTAGAAGATTACCAAATATATTTTGACTAAAAATTTATTATGCTCTTTATAACCTTAAAACATCTGCAAGATTTCAAAGCATTCGGTTTTGTAGTTCCTGATTAAATCAATAAAATAAATTTACGCATTCATTAATTTTTTTGAGTCACCCTGTATATGCAAATCGAAAAAATTTGAATGGAGTGATAAATCACAAGAAGAGACTCACCATATTTTGTACATTTTAGATAGGATTTATTCAGCAAAATTTTGTGGTGACGTCATAAATTTTTTAGGGGGGACGACCAAATACATTTTGATCAAAAATTTACCATGCTTATGATAATTTTAAAATATCTTCAAGATTTCGAAGCATTCGGTTTTGTAGTTCCTGAGTAAATCAGTAAAATAAATTTACGCTTTCATTTATTTTCTTGAATCACCCTGTATATGCAAATCCAAAAAATATGAATGGAGTGATAGATCACAAGTACAGACTGATCATATTTTGTACATTTTAGATATGATTTATTCGGCAAATTTTCGAGCTGACGTCATCAAGTTTTTGGAGGGGATAAGCAAATATATTTTGACTAAACATTTATTATGCTCTTTATAACCTTAAAACATCTGCAAGATGTCAGAGCATTCCGTTTTGTAGTTCCTGATTAAATCAATAAAATATATTTACGCATTCATTAATTTTTTTGAGTCACTCTGTATATGCAAATCCAAAAAATATGGATGGAGTGATAAATGACAAGTACAGACTCATCATATTTTGTACATTTTAGATATGATTTATTCGGCAAACTTTCGAGCTGACGTCATCAAGTTTTTGGAGGGGATAAGTAAATATATTTTGACTAAACATTTATTATGCTCTTTATGACCTTAAAACATCTGCAAGATTTCAGAGCATTCGGTTTTGTAGCTCCTGATTAAATCAATAAAATATATTTACGCATTCATTAATTTTTTTGAGTCAGCCTGTATATGCAAATCCAAAAAATATGAATGGAGTGATAAATTACAAGTACAGACTCATCATATTTTTACAGTTTAGATAGGATTTATTCGGCAAACTTTCGAGCTGACGTCATCAATTTTTTGGAGGGGATAAGCAAATATTTTTTGACTAAAGATTTATGATGCTCTTTATAGCCTTAAAACATCTGCAACATTTCAAAGCATTCTGGTTAGCAGATTAAAAATTAAATTTCAAAATGTTGTTTTATAA